TTCTAGATCTCATATAGCAAGTGATTGCGATACTCACAATAGGTAAAAATTCACCTGAGGTGAAGACCCCACCTAACTGAGGAGAATTAAATAAAGATATCGATATCATCACTCATGTGAAGTCTAACGACTTTAGTGAAGACTGTGAAGCAAATCAACCGTGGTTGCATCATTTCCACCAATGTGGAGGGAAAAAGGTTCCCGAAAGTCACTGTCATATCGAAGGATCGTCCGCACCACCCACTTACATTGTGGACACCATCATTTCAAGACTTACAACGACGACGAGCCGTCGCTGCCAAGAAGTATCGAAGTCAGAGGCACGAGCTGTTTGCGAGATAATACTTTTGGTAGGAAAAATAGGAAGGCAGCTGTGCAGAACGCCCTCTTTCAGCAGTAGACAAAACTCCTGACCACTGCGACTCTGTGTTGATGACAAGTTTATTATTATTCGAGCTTTACAGTTGACGAGTACCAGGGCCGCTCTGACCTGATGGTCGGGCTTCACCTTACATGCATAACTAAATGAAAGCAAGCAGCAAACTGACATCTGTAAGGGATGCTTTTAGGTCGGTGTAGTGCTGAGAAATTGCAGGAATACATAATCACGGCATAGTATGATTTAATTCAATAAATATTTTGCCTGCTTTGAATTCTGTTACGTAATTGTCTGCAAGCGTTGGATCGGTGCACAACGACCTTGTCTATCCCGGCAAGTCTACGATTTTTCAAGACAAAATGTCTTGCTGTGACTTAACCTCTTGCTGGTTGACAGAGGTCTGGGTCGGTTCGATTTGAAGCACTGTTTGACCAGCTGTATAATAAGCTATGGTCATCGGTGGTTAAACCTTGTTGTACACAATCCATTTTGTTATATTTCGTCCGTTTGTTGGAAAAATAACATGTATCCCGTCTGGCTTTTAATAATGCATGTAGTGAATTTGAGTTGCTTGCTATATGGTATTCTCATGCTGAATAGCTATCTTCTGCCGACAGCTATGGATTATGTGGTAATCCTCTGACAGGCTCCTTATTTTATATTCTGAATACACTCCCCTTTTATTTCTTCCTAAAAGAGGTGAATGCCAGAACCCTGTGGGATCTTAAGAAATACAAGACACTGAGAAACTGACAAGCATATTAGAGTCGAATATTAGTTCAGGAATACGCCGCCCAACTAAAGGTTTACTTATGCAAACAATGCTTAAAATTTAGCACTTTTGGCGAAATTATGCTTCTTAAATACATCCATGTGTCATTTTACCAAATAACGGTTGTATGCTGTAACATCGAAACACTGAGTGTAAATACTGAATACCTCCAGTAATGAATTCCTTCATCAGCCGTCTACTAAACTTTATTCCAATACAACTATAAGACAGGAAACGCCTATGTGTTACTCAACAGTGTAATGTTTACAAATCCAAACATTCCATCTGGGTGTGCCCTCGGTATACTTAATTTGCGTATATCTGAACATATAATAGGTGCAAAACAGGTGTTTTGTGATCGTTGCTGTGGTGTCGCTCATCCATATCGAGCTTTGGCTGGCGATAGCAGGACTCTATTAAACGTGTCAACAGGTGCAGCATCCCAATTTATGAATGGGATCAAGAAGCTAACTTTCAGTGCTCTAATATGAATATCTCTTGATTTGGATTCCTTTGGGCACGAAGAATATTGTTGTAGTTCCGTTACCTGTTATGTTGAGTAATAGGCCACAGGGTAACCTTGTTCGGACTACAGATATCGCGTTTCTACACCAAACCATCGTTCGAAATCTCAAAGTCCTGAAACCGTAATGGCTACAGAACCGTGTTATGCCAACCCCGGTTGACATGAACTCTGAATACGCCTGAACTCTGTGACATTTACTGACATAATCAACTGCTCCCATTGTTACGACTTATGGTGCACTAAGAGCAAAGTTTCTGTCCGATCAAGAGTTTTAAACTCCAAGAGACACAAATTCCGCCTTCAGAACTGAATGAAAGCGTAATTAGTTCAATTGTATACATCAAGAGTTACACTATAGATAGTTGGGTACTACCACATGGGTGTTAGTCTTCACGGTAATCTTGTAGCGTCCCTTTGTTGACTCCAACTGTACGCTCATAAAACTAATTCACGTGCCAATATTATATGTTTGCGGAAACTAATTATAGACGTGCTTGTCGAATGTTTGCCAGTGTATTACCGGACATCGGCTTTCGTTTGTTACATATATATTTTGTGTGGTTACACACTTTTACGTTCTCCTCGCGCTCTACGGAATCTGATTTCCTTAACAACATACATTTCGAATTTTTACTTGTTCTTCTTAATAAAACGTTGTTCGTATTTGGCCGTGCACAGAGTTTAGCACACAGTAGAAGGTGAAAACCTGGATGTCCTATAGTATTATAATTGGAATCAAACCACATTATTTCAAGGACTCGTTTAAATTTTGCTGGTGGCCGTTTCAAAAACATCTTCTATGACAATAAGTTCTTTATGCTTCAGCGTGCTGAGGAATTTTGTCTGCCTTTCAGCATTTGCGGGGGCCTCTGCCATCTTGATTCCACCTTGAGTTAAAGGTCCCAAACCGAAAAACGGTAGAATAATGGGTAAATGGGCAGATAATGGGCATGGGATATGGCAAACCAAATAAGCGAATTTTGGTTGAATGACACAATTTCTCTCATCTCGACCGTTGTTTGACTGATATTTAGCCAATATTTCCCGTTATTTAACCACCACCTCCCCATTTTAACTATCATTTCACCTTTCGAGATAACATTTTCCCCTTCGCTTGACCAGTCTTTCCTCATTTTACCCATAATTAAACCACTATTTTTTCCATTCTAATCACCACTAAACGTTTGTTGGACTAATATCTCCCCACTATATAGCCGTTGGCTTTACATTCAATGCTTTAGCTAGACACCTTTCAAAGTGATATTCTACCTATTAAACGACCCTTGTTTAACAAATTGTTTCGTATTATTCAAACACCATTTCTTTTTTACCTATTACTTAAGGATTATTTTCTCATTTTACACACTATTTAAACACTAAATAACCCTTGCTATGTTCCCTCTCACTCCCCACTTAGCAGCCATTTTCGCACTTTACCCCTTATCTATTCAAAATTTCTCCAACAATGCTAAATCCTACAACATATGACTGTAACACGAAGAAAGAGGTTTGTTAATATTTGGATTAATAATTGTACATTTTAATAAAATTATACGCAGAAATCATTGAAAATCATCGTAGCGCTTATAGTTCACTTCCTCGCTGTTCACAGTTTTGAGAATGTCATATTCACCTGCAAACGTTACAGGTAGAACTGAATTAAGCAATGGAGTCACCGTAAGGTCTAAAACACTGAAACGCACTTAAGAATGACTTACATTGACAATATTTCCAAGTAATTCGCTTGACATAGGAAAAAGATGGAAAGATGAAATAAAGCAGTTATACCTAATTGTATGTGCAACATTGTAAATAGGAAGCCATTTATCGAGAAAATAGAGACAGTATATTAGTAAAGAAAATAACACAAGCATTGATAACAACAATAGGAGTTTATGTCTGGCAGCTGCTACATTTAAACGATATCTCTTTCCGCATCGACCACCATATCTCCTGATGAGTCCTGATTAGATAATATTTGAAGAACAGCATAGCAATATCCCCAAACCCAAAGCGGATGTTTTGCTCCACTGTTTGGATCGATTTTTTAATCTGGAGTAACGTGGCTATGCATTGATGCCGCTTGGCACGCTTCCTGTTGCGTTCAATCGTTTGCGCACGATCCCTAGCTATTTAAATAATCGTAACGTCTCTACGTTTCTGATTCCAAAGTATATCCCTTATATAAAAGACGAGTGTATTATTCGGTATCACTTATGACGGAATAATTTCTCTGACAGTTTGCATATAGCGTATCTTGGTTAAGTGTGAAAACCCTTCATCCCCAAAAGGGATTAAATGCTACTACGTAGAACAAACTTTGGTTTTGAAATTGGATAACAAAGTTTGGTTCCAAGCGACTTTACTGAAACTGAAGGAATACGCTGTTGGAAAGTGCAGACTTTGTAGGGGATGTACTATGGGGGCAGTTTTCACTATACCTGATATCCAGATGCTTGCAGCACTCACACCATAGACCTTGACATTGCAAATTCGGTAGGTAACCTCAACTTGAAGCATAAAACACCGTGCCTCCGAATCTCTTCAAAACTGATGGATACGCGTTAAGAATGTTATAAACAGGAATGTTCAAAGGGGATCATAGGAATCCGGCATAAAGCACACAACGTCAGGCATCAGAAGCTACAACAACAGTGTAGCGGCTTGATCACTGCTGATAAGGCCATAGATCATTTTAATAATAATAATCACTTTATTCCACAACAACAACAATTTACAGCATGGAATTTTCAGCGTTTCTTTACATATTGCAATGGTTCAGCTCTGTTTATAATTATATAAATGTATAAAATGTTAAAATATTGACAGTTAATAGGAAAAAATAAAACCCCAACAAAATCACACCATTGCCAGGTCATAGTAAATAATAAATAAATAATATAACAAATAACACATGCATTAATATGCATCATTACATTTTATAGTTTAGTTAATGATTTAAAAGTTGTAAAAGTTCTTTTCTGATATTTGTCTCATCACACAATACTCGTGCCAAACATGGTACGGTCGAATTTTTATATTTTGTAGTACGAGCATAAATGTTAATGAAATTTCTTGTGGTCTTACCCTAAGAGATACAAGGAAACAATTGTGAATAAAGAGGATGTTCACTATCAGACAAGATAACTTTAGCTAAGGGGAGGGCGATATTTCCACTGATTTATCGTGGACTTCTTAATGGAAATCTATCAAGCATTGCATATCTCAAGGCGAAAACGCAGCTACGATAAAGTGTGGCTATTGGATTTAGACCGGTTGTTTTCAATCAGAACGTTACGTAAGCTCTTGAGGGTGGTTGTTATCTGCGTGTCAGTGCCTGGCAAATGCTAAAACAGTACCAATTTTAAATTGGTGCGTAGGTTTTAAGCCTTCAAATTTTTGTCTATAAAGTTATTGTATTTTAATTGCACAATTTCACCCCATAAGTAAGTATATTTATCTGTGGTAGTAACCTAGGTTATGATATGTGAAAGCACTGTTTTTTTTCTCCAGAACTTTTTATAACAGAATGTGAGGTTGGCGTAGCTCAGTGGTTTTGATGTATGACTGACTGTTCTTCTAAAAAGGTAGTCTGTATAAGGTATCTTTATGAGTCACATAAGGAAACTTTAGTGTGGTTTTAAATGTAAGAGACATCGGAAAACATCTTTCGAAGTAAACATCAATCAGTAACTAAATTACTTGGACGAAATCCTAGAGGAAATGTCTCGACAAAGGTGTCTGCCTATTTCAATTAAAGTTTCAGTATCAACAACAGATGTTTGTCGACTTAAGCACAGTAGAAGCTAGTTGTGAATCTGGAGTTGGCTGTGTCGTCATATGAACACTGCAGGCCGTTTGATGTCTTTGTCATGAAGGGCGTGTTTTATAAACAAGCTGAATATATAGTTGATTGGGGGTGGGGGAGTGATTCCATGTTAGTTTGTTTATTAGATGTATCACACAGTGAAACAGTATTATTTACTGGATGACGTTTCGAGCAAAATTTATTGTTCATAATCATATCAATTATAATCACACGAATTCTAAACTTGAGTTTTATAGTTTTCTTTTTTCTCCTATTTGTCATAGGAGTAGTGATACATCTAATAAACAAACTAATATGGAGTTACTACGACAGTGCCCAAGTTTTACACATATATTAAAATGGGGGGAGTGATATGGGATTATATCACATGTCTCACAAGAATCGTAGCTAAGACATTCGGAAAAAGATTGCATTTGTTATGCTGGGGATCAAATTATCACAGTCTAAACCTGGTTGCGAATGTATTAGTTGACAGTTTCCTTCTCTGTAAAGGTACTGCCTCTAAATGGACCTATAACGTATTTTTAAATTGTATAAAGTTTCGTTTCTCATGCTCTCTAACTTGTGGAGGTCGAAAGATATCTAACTGTACGTTCATTATAAAATAGTAAAAATAAGGAATTCACTGCACATCATGGCTGTTAACTGAGATTGAATAAGGACACGACCTGGTTCAGTACGCAGTACGGACGACACAACTTCCTTCTCCAGCTTCTTGCTTTCCAATATTGCCAGTCATCTCTGGCTCGTACCTGATCCGTACATTCACATCCGGATCCTTTGCTTCGATTCCCTTTTCTGTCAAGTGCCGTCGGGCTGTTGTCATACTCTTGCTTGGGGTGAGCCACTGCATACCAAAACAAGACTACTTCATCACTACAATTCTGTACGTCTCTACTTGTGTATTTTGAGGCGATTATAACTCACCAATTAACTGTATTTTATATGCATATTAATTTATGTGAACTGAATTCCTCTCTACACACATAAATGTTTGAATTTGTTTTGTCCTTTTTATTCGCGTATAAACGAGCTTAGCGATTTAGTTCACAACACTTAATTGGTAAGCCTGTTTCAACACGGATTATTTTTACATTTCTATGTAGAATTTTGCCATTTTGTATTATTATTGTTATTCTTTGTTTATGGTTCCATATCTTCTTCCCCTCGCACCAATATTTTCATACCTATAATGTCGTCACCTACTCAGCCCGGTACACAACTTGAGCTGATGACTGGCAACAAGACACAGGCCACAATAAATGCCATCACGATGACTATCTCTCTCCCGACAATGTCCCCGCACTTCTAGGGATGGTGATATATGTTGGTATCATAGGAAGTTCGGACGTCATGCCCCAAAATGTGTCAAACCGTGCATTTTTAGTGAAGATAACCAGGCTCAGGGTAATACCTCGGCCAGGCAGTGATGGCGACAGCTGTTACTGGCAAGCAAACAAGTCGCTTTTTTATATGAAGGATAAAACTTCAGTCACCCTATTCCTGGTAGACACAGGAGCTGAAGTTAGCGTGATCCCTCCTTCACTATCCAGGCGATCTACTCGGACACCAGGAAAACTGTCTCTTCGTGCAGCCAACCACACAAGCGTACAGACGTACGGTGAACAATCTCTTATATTGGATCTAGGCTTACGCCATCGTTTCACATGAATTTTTATAGTAGCCAACGTGGGCCACACCATACTCGGGGCTGATTTCTTTAGTATCTTCAATCTGTTAGTTGATGTCAACATTAAAATCCGATTGATAACAGCCCTCAACTAAAAATTCATGGAATAATCTGCAGTTACTCTGTCTGTAACATCTGCATCGAGAGACCAGCAGACAGCACTTTTCTGCTCTACTTCACTGTTCGCCTAGTATACTTAAGCCGTCGTATAACATCGAGGATGTAACACATACAGTCATTCACAAAATTGTTAACGCTGATCAATCTGTTCGAGCTCGTCCCCGTAGACTACCACCTGACAAGTTAGCAGCAGCTAAGGCAAAATTTGAACACATGATGCAGCTCGGCATCATCAGACCTTCCAATAGTCCTTGGTCCTCATCCTTACACATGGTGTCTAAAGCTGAGCATGACTATACAAGTTGTGTATAGAGAAATATTATTAGTTCCACTTAATATTAATTTTCAAAGTAATTAAGAATGTAGTCTTACCACCTCTAGAATCAAGATAAGACTACAAAATTGAATCGCTGCATTATTCAGCGTTTCAGATTGGAATTTTGATACAGGATTACTTTGTCTTATGTAATATATAGACAACTAGACTTATCTGAATACCTCCTCCAGGGAGAGGTATTGCTTTTAGCTAATAACACTTCTAGAATTTCAGCAGAGCAATTAATAGACCAAATTTTATTGCCTATGGGTTGCAGTGACATTTGACCCTCATCTAATAACGCTAACCTATTTCGTGGATTCGTGTCGCTTCATAAATAACTGTTGCGCGTTCCCGTGAAATAATCATCAACTTATTAATTTAGGAATTTCATCTTAGTTTAAAAAGTAGGCAAACGTTTTATTCACTCCTTCAATGAATACTTGACGAGTAATAGGTAGTTGCTAATTGTTTTCTTTTGTGTATCTAACAGTGAAGCGCACCACGATGTAGATATGATCAGAAGATGCTATTACTTCACTGTTATATCGAATACAGTTATTCTGTTGTGGAGCTATGCTGTATCACAGTGCTTTCTTTCACCCTTGAAAGTTGTTGGTTTGGTCACTGTGTGATTCATTTTCCGACATCCATTTCATGCTGGTTTGTGTTTGATTAGTCGAACGTAAACACCACTAAGTCATTTTCTCTCCTCCAAGTGCCTTACTTATTACGTATACATGTTATTATCCTGGTCTTTGAGATGGTTTCTTTTCATATGCTAATTGATTTTATTTTATAGTATGGAGCTGGCTAGATGATTAGATCTATGACCAGAATTAGTGCAGCTAGAAATCGTTTTAACTGTGACATTTAGATGTCAAACAGTTAGCATCCATTTAGTTGAAAGTGGAACGACACTTTCGTAATTTCGATTTCAGAAAAGCAGTCATAAAATGTGTTGTTGTAAAACCAATTCGGCGATAGTGATTGGTTGATGTGGGGAGGATCGCTTTTATGCATGCGTTGTGTTCAATTTGTCAGTTTCAGGAAAGGAAATTGTACACTATATGTGTATGACTGTGATTTCGACAATCAGGTTATATCGTATGCAAACGTTACTATCATTAATCGGCTTAGACTATAATGTAAACTGTGGTTTCATTAAAATCAAGCAAACCACAGTTTTGTTACTGTGCCAGTAAATAATAATTGGCTTTCAGTAAAAACTTTTCTTTGGATTTCTCTTTTTTCTTCAGAAATTATACTATGACCGAAAACTCAAGCGAGAGTTGTGTCTTCTTTAAAAAACGTAGTCGCAAAAATGTGCGGCAAAAAGAAAGTATGAATTTAAAACCAATAAAAACATTTCAACATTTTCAAAAGGTTCATCCAGTGAAGATGAAGCAGTTATCAAGACTAAGAAAAGAAGTCATATCAATAATATGTTATATCAACAGGTTCGTTATTATTTAAAAACATTTATTTACACCACTTTCAGACTTCGAAATTTGGCAGTAATAAGAGGTGTTCATCGGATGATGATGATGACAACGATAATGCTGGTAAAAAAAGTGCTCTTGAAACAGTCACATATAAGGCTTCACATTCCAAGGTAAATCTTTTTTTATTTCTAACAGCTTCCAGGAATCAAGGGTTACAAAAGATCAAATAGCAGCCGCCACCTTGGAGATTGATACAGACATCAAGTGTGATGCCCAGTCTATATTTGAGCGTTCCCAGAAATTAAATAAGGCATGTTGTTTTGCTTTATTTCATTAGCTTATATAATCTATGTTTTGTAGGATTCTCAAGATCGTAATTCATACAAGGGGATGAATAACTATGCTCAGTACATTGAAAAGAAAGATACTGTTATGGGGAATGCATCAAGCGGTTTTAATCGTAAAGGTCCTATGCGAGCTCCAGCAAATTTAAGAGCTACTGTTAGATGGGATTATCAACCGGATGTTTGTAAAGTTTGTACACCGTGTTCTTTAGGCCTTTAGAGATGCTTATTTTATTTTAGGATTATAAAGAAACAGGATTTTGTAGTTTTGGTGACAGTTGCAAATTTCTGCATGATAGATCAGATTATAAGCACGGTTGGCAAATAGAACAGGAGTTAGCTGAAGGAGTCTATGGAATTGATGGTGAAGATAATCGTTATGAAATTGCTCATAATTCTTCTGACGAAGAAGTAGTAGAAGACATCCCTTTAATTTGTATGATATGCCGCAAAGATTATAAAGATCCAGTTGTGACTATGTAAGTTACAATTCCACTATCGAATTTCTCTCCAGTTGTAAACATTATTTTTGTAGTGATTGTGCTCTAAAACGATATAAGAAAACTGCACGATGTTATGCATGCACGACAGATACTAAAGGATTTTTCAAATTTGCTAAGAATTTATTATCACGTATTGCTGCAATAAAGGAGAAGAAGAAAAAGCACTCAGATTTCAGTGAAAGTGATCAAGAAGAAGAAAAAGACGAAAAAAGTCACAACCACTCGTGTTGTCATTCTTCATCAGTGTGTGCAGGAGAAATAAATAATGGTGCTGATGAACTCAACAAGACAACTGAAATAGAGTGTGATCTTACTGGTAAAGTAAAACTTCCACAATCAGCTGAACCGAATTGGGCAAAACCCGAAGCTCCACAGTATTGTGATTCTGATGAAGAGAGTGATTGAGATTTACTCTGATGTAGCTGTACATATGTATATACTTTATGTATATATCAACAATAAATTATTGAAATCAATTGCTTCTTTTTGTTTTTATTTTGTGCTATTAATTCATCTACAGTTGATTGTCTTTTTGTAGAATGGATGGAGGATTTTTATGAAATCTTAGACTGTTCAATGGAGGCCACCGATGATGAAATTAAACAACTTGTTAATCGAGCTCGACTTAGATTTCATCCTGATAAAAATGCAGGTATTTTAGAAAAAGAATTTATGCTTATAGAAAAGGCATGGAGTGTTCTACGATACCCCGAAAAACGTAAAGCTTATGATGCTTTATTGAGACAAAATAAGCTATTGTCAATGTCTGCTGGGTTACCTGTACAAAGTGATATACCATATGATGAATTCCACTCTGAACACATACATGACACTGATATAAATTTTGAATCTAATGATCGAAAGTGTAGTATTTATTGGTACCCTTGTCGTTGTGGTGGAAATTATATCTTAGAAGAAGTTGCTGTATTGTGTCGAGCTCCGTATGCTCAGTGTACTGACTGTTCTTTACTGGTGCGTGTTTTATATCGAGAATCGCAACACTAAAGTATTTTTTTAATACTGAGTACTTTATGATTTCTATTATCTTTTTCCTACTTGTAATGTTTTGTAGAATATACTACTTCTTTATCGTGTCTTTCTTGTCTTGTTACAGTGTCTACAGTCATTATACCTTTTTAATTTGCAGTTTGTTGACCTTAATGTCTTCAGACCTTGGTGACGGTTTCGAGGTTCCTTCTGTCCCTGCACCTTTTAAAGGCTTAGAGAAAGATCGAATTGAAACAAGAAAAAGGCAAGCATTATTTCTTCGTCAAGCTTTGCGCATAGTTGAAAGATTTGCGCGCAATCCTGTTAGTGTCACTATGTTAGCATGTGCCGTAAGTTATACAGTATTGCTTTTCGATTCTCATCAATTTTGTCTTCCTCTATACACTTATCAACACTTGCTGGAATTTAGTGGCACTTTGGTCAAAGATGTATCGAACACCATATAGTATTTGTGACGATTTTCAGTATATGGCTTAGCATACATCTATTCCTTTCGTTTGGGACTTGAGATTCTAAATAAAAAATGTGATTATCGAAAATACGCGATATTGAGTGTTGTTCACAGCACTGAGCTCGGCGACCAGGGTGTATAAAAAGAAAAATGTGACGAATTCTATGGGATCATTTTATTTCGCTCAATTTGTTGTTCTTACTTTGTTCACAATAATTGATGAAATTGTGAAGGTGAATCGAGTGAAGTAGCTAAAACACGTGTTGCATACACTGGGTTACCGCCTACTTCAACGCGCAATGTTAGCTGACGTAGGCTTAGGATAGAAAAGAACTAGTGCAGGTCAAACCGAGATTTGGGATCAGTTCATGAAATCTCTAACAATTAGTTTGAGTCACATAGCGAGACTTAAACTTCTTGGTCGGGGTCCTCTAGATTCTAAGAACCAATGACTGGAGACAATTGGTGATATGGCCCGTAGTCGTCCTCAATAGATCAGATGTATTCACTCTTTGTGATGTCCCATATCCACTAAGGCGTCAGTTTTTCCGTGTTACTAGTCTTTCACAATATTTTCAGCTTATTATAGTTCCTTGAACCTCTTTATTTACTGCGTTTTGTTTACCCTTTGTGTGTTAGATGGAGTGTGGCAACTTGAGCTGCCGCAGCACTTCTGTGTTAAGTTCTATGCTGAACGCCAGTCAGTCAGCTAGTAGAAGTGTAAAGAATTTTAATACTGTAGTTTTAACAGTTATTTTTTTCTGATTGCAATTAGGCTAAGAATTTATCAGATTTTTTTATTGGTTTTTTGTTTCGAATCAACTTTAGTTACCATGGTTGGAGCGTGAGCAATATGACGATATTGCTGTCGAAAGAAATGCCTACGGGAATTGTGGTTATGCCTTATGCTGTAATCCTAAGGGCCAAATAAGCAAACAGAAGTATCGCATATGCACAAAATCACGTAGAGTGTACGATATTACCGAGCGCAGGGTGAGTATTTCGAAGACTAACGTCTTTTGGTATCATATTTCTAATAATCAAATAGGACTGTCTAAGTTAGTTATCGAATGTAAGTAATACTAATAATAGTTCTATTCCAAACAGTACTTTTGGTACAAATATGGAATTTTCGGTATGTAGTGCAGTATTATAACTAACTTCCTCATTACAGAGTTAAGAGTTAAAACATGGCATTTATTATTATGATACCCTTGGGTTCCGAGTGGAACATAGAGCATCAGCAACACATCTCCACTTTCTTCTATTTGCTACTGTCCTCCCCAGCTGGGTCCACGATTGCCCATAACCTCTCATCTCCTGTTCTCACGATCTCCTCCATGTCACCCTAGGACGACCCACTGGAGCGATGGCCTGCATTGTGCGCAATGTCATTTGACGGTCTCCTCAACGTATGCACGATCCTTCTCCATTTCCTCCTACTTATTTGTTGAGCGATCCGCTCTTGGTTGGTTTGTTCCCAGCCAGAGTATATTGTTGCTAATTCTTTCTGGCCGGCTGGTCATTTGATCTTCAGTATGGAGCCAGCGAAGTGGGTGTCAACAGTTGTTGATGAAAGTCTGTAACTTGTTGGGAATCCTTTTCGTGACACGCAGTGCAAATTTCTGACCCACATAGAAGAAGTGACCGACTTGACATATGTGTTGAGAATTCGAATCCTGTTCGTTATGCTGAGGCGGGTGCAGTGCAGACGATTTCCAAACTGGTTTCAGGTTGATGAAGGCGCATCTTGCCTTTCTGATTCTGGCTGGCTTGTTTTGACATCTTCGTCCGTTCTGCCACCTGTGGTTGAAACGATGCTTCCTAGATAAGTGAAGGAAGTGACCTCTTTCAAATCTCTCTCGTTGATGGTACTTGGTGCTGGTTGTTGTTGTTAGTGTTGGTTGGTTATCGTCATCACGTCTGTCTTTTCTATGTTCACCCGGGGTCCTGTCTTCGATGCCAGTCTCCTCAGCCAGTTTGTTGGTTTTCGTCTGGAAATCTTCGAGTTTGTGTGACATTAGACATAAATCATCCAGGCGCAAAACCAGGATGTGCTAGAGTCTTCTTATCGGTATTCCAGTGTATCCCTGTCGTTTCACTGCCAACGCACAGTCTGACGCACAATCCAGTCCACCACAATTAAGAATATCATCGTTGGCGATAATAGGCAGCCATCTTGTCTTACTCCTATATTCGCTTCGAACGCCTCGCTGAGTTTTCCTTTGTGGATCAGCTGACACGTGGTATTGTCATATAGCCAGCTGTTAAATGAGGTTGATACAGATTTCGGGGCTGCATGTTGTAGTGTTGAAGCAGTTTTAAAATTACTTCTCAGCCAACGCTGTCTGTCGAAAGCCTTTTCGAAGTCGATGAAGTTAATGTGGAGGTTTGACTGCCATCCTATGCTTTGTTCTACGATGATGCGTAGAGTTGCGATTTGATCAGCACATGATTTTCCTTTCGTGACTCCAGCTTGTTCTGTGTGTGTGGGGGGTTCTGCATCCAATGTATCTTTTATTCTCTCCAGGATGACAGGACAAAGTATTTTCCTTGGCGTTGACAAGAGTATTATTCCACGCCAATTCTTTCAGAGACCTGACTAGGTCGCCCTTCTTTGTTAGCCTGACAAGGTAGCCAGTCTTTCTTCCAATCGGTAGGCACCTTTCTTTCCTTCCAAACCTTTCTCAATAATGATATGAGGACATCTGCCGCAGTCTCGGGGTCCGTTTCCAGTGATTCGGTGGAGGAATTCTATCTGGCGCCGCTGCCTTCTCTGTTGGTGTTCAGTAGCTTGATCGCATTCAAGATTTTTGCTATCGTTGAAGGATCGGCGTCCACTGACGGTTCTGTCCTACTTTGGGTTTTTTTAGTAGTGCGCACTCGCAACCCGACCAGATATTGGAACCGGGACCTTTAGGTTATGAGGCGAAGGTCTTTGACCATTTAGACACTTGGGCAGGAATTCGGTGGTTCATAAATTTTTAGTTGATTTCCAATGATCTCTAACTGATATCGGTTTGTGATAAAATCTACCTTGAAACTAATCCAGAAAAGCCATAAGTTGTATAACTGTAAGTTAGACATGATTTAATTGGTTGCGGTTACTTATCGATATGGTTTATCGCAGTAGATTTTAAGCACTTCACTTTGGAGAGTAGTAACATTTTTACAGAGTGAATATCAACAGATTAAATAAAGAGATGGAAAATTATTAGCCTACCCTGTAAAGAATCTACGGATATAGACTATTGTCTATTGTAACGCGTCAAACTTACTACTCTAATTGGTTTTAGTCGTTCTTAATAGATTCAATTACAAGGAAAGTATTTAATTTTATTCGCAAGTATTAATTAAAACCTAGGTAGCTGCGTTGATCACCATCTAATAATCTTTCCATGTGCAAGAACCAGTAGTCTTACAAGGAATCAATTGTGACCTGACCCCTAGTATTTTTTTCACACTTGGCAGTGAAAAGAAGTGAATATCTGTTTTGAAGCATAATTAAGCTGTATTACTGCTTGGTATATTTCGTGGAAATTATAATGTTGAAAGTAAGTAGGTTTTTAATTTACCACATTATTTTGAAACCTGTATTATTTCTGCGCTTTGTAAAAGGTGTTTCTCACCTTCATAACGGTTAATAAACTATACAACTTTTCGTTAATTACAGCCATTTTGTTCAGATTGGTGTTTTCGTGCTTCAAGGCATATACGTAAACAAATTTCGAAAGAGCCAGCTTGGTGTCGTTCAGTTGACAGTCTAAAATCTTGTAATATTGATCTTTTACCTCGGAATGCATCAGGACATGTTGGTAAAGTAATTTTAGACGTTCCAAATCGTTTACTTTTGACGGGATCTGAAAGCGATTCCAGCATTGAGAATGAATCAGATACGTTTGATGAATTAAACTCATCTAAGTCATCCGACAGTACGATTGAGTGTACACGTCTAGGTCTTGAGGAACTTCAGCTTGAAATAAATGCTAAAAATAATTTACAAGTTGGTGATATTCATCAGCGTACAGTTGATCCTATCGAATCAAAAGCTGCTTGTAAAAATAATCAAACAGAGACATCTATCACTTCATTCGATTCCAAGCAAGTTTTAGTGGATGATAATAGCAATAACAGTAACAGTGATACATCAACTGTACCGCTTCCTTTGAGTGATAGGATTTCAAGACGTTTGTGTGAATGGCTAACTGAAAAAGCTCTTGATATGCTTACCACTTATTCGTTTACAACTGAACAATCCTCTTTGACAAGTGAAGTGCATAACAGAATTTTACAACAGTTTTACTCGAAATATAATTTATCAAAAAAGAAAAGTCGGGACAATAATCCTGTGTCCGAAGTAAGTTGTAATTATGTTTTCTTTTTTTAAAACGCATTTTAACTTTGGTTGTCTTTTCTCTTGACTGAATGATTGACTGACTAATTTCAACACGGAACTTCGCGCAGAAGTGGAGCAGTTCAACTGGCCACATCCCATGCAGCATATAAGGGAAGAGAACAAGATATTCGAAAAGACGATAATAACCAGAAATATGAGGGAAAAAGAATAGTAACAAAGGAATACAATGGGCTTTTATGGATATGGCAGATCACAAAGAGTGAATACATCTGAGGCATTGAGTAACGATTACGAGCCATTTCACCGATTGCCTCGAGTCATGGGTTCTTGGAATACTGAGGACCACAACCAGGCAATCTTCACCACCCTAGATGGCCCAAACTAACTGTGAAAGATTTCATTGGCTCATTCCAATGTTTTATTCGACCACCACCAGCTCTTCCTCCGACCGCATCCTATGTCAGCTAACATTGCGCATCGAGGAAGGCGATAGTTGGTCATGAATGTAACAACTGTCCTAGCCACCTAAGTCAATGTACCTTCACAACCTCGTCTACTGACTTTCCCTCCCTACCGAATACTCGACGCCTGACCTCAATATTACACACCGTATTATACCACCTAACACAGGAGATCAAACTCGGACACAAAGGATAAAAAATAACTAGCATTTTCATGGCTTCCACTTTCAGTGGCCATGTCTCACAACTACAACGGTCGATAGACAGAACTGATGCGCAGTACACATGTCATTTGACTGATAGCCGGATGTCACAACTACGCTAGAGGTTATGTAATTTGACAAATCCTAAATGAGCCTTTTGTGTCCGTGTTGAGATTTTGTAAGCAGTCACCCCTTTGGAGTTGATGCAGTTTCCTAAATAAGTGAAACGTTCAGCATGTTCTACCACTTCACTTCCTACCTTTAAGCTAGGAGTCGATGTAGTCGTAGAAACCACTATAGATTTTGAAGTTAATTTAAAAACGCACTGACCAGTTTTCATCTGAGAAGCTTGCAGGAAATTATTGAAATCAACTGGGCAAATTATACCTAATTTATTTGCATACTTTTCAAAGTTAGTGACTTTTGTGCCTAAGCTGTTGATTAGTATGAATTTGCGTACTACCATAGTGCCCTGATTCTATTGAAATAAATCCTTCGTTCATTCTTTAACAATCAAAATACCTACCATGATTTTTCTGTCTTTTCAGGTGCCACTTACTTGTGTACTGCCGTTAATTGATTCCGTTTCACCTCAGGTTCTTAGAAGACAAATCCTTTTGGATGATCTTAAACACAGGTAGGTTTTTTAATATTCATTATTTATTTACTATTATTATTCCCTTGGGTTCCGAGTGGAACATAGAGCATCAGCAACACATCTCCACTTTCTTCTATTTACTACTGTCCTCCCCAGCTGGGTCCACGATTGCCCATAACCTCTCATCTCCTGTTCTCACGATCTCCTCCATGTCACCCTAGGACGACCCACTGGAGCGATGGCCTGCATTGTGCGCAATGTCATTTGACGGTCTCCTCAACGTATGCACGATCCTTCTCCATTTCCTCCTACTTATTTGTTGAGCGATCCGCTCTTGGTTGGTTTGTTCCCAGCCAGAGTATATTGTTGCTAATTCTTTCTGGCCGGCTGGTCATTTGATCTTCAGTATGGAGCCAGCGAAGTGGGTGTCAACAGTTGTTGATGAAAGTCTGTAACTTGTTGGGAATCCTTTTCGTGACACGCAGTGCAAATTTCTGACCCACATAGAAGAAGTGACCGACTTGACATATGTGTTGAGAATTCGAATCCTGTTCGTTATGCTGAGGCGGGTGCAGTGCAGACGATTTCCAAACTGGTTTCAGGTTGATGAAGGCGCATCTTGCCTTTCTGATTCTGGCTGGCTTGTTTTGACATCTTCGTCCGTTCTGCCACCTGTGGTTGAAACGATGCTTCCTAGATAAGTGAAGGAAGTGACCTCTTTCAAATCTCTCTCGTTGATGGTACTTGGTGCTGGTTGTTGTTGGGAGGGTGAAGTTCTGCATCCAATGTATCTTTTATTCTCTCCAGGATTACACGACAAAGTATTTGACAAATTGTCATTTAGTCGATTTACTTTTACTTCACTAACAAAGACTACACGAATTATACATTTATAAATTAACAGAACTTATGGTACTGAGCCTTTTTGATATGAAACTGTATGTATTTGAGATACACATATGGAAAACTAAATGTGTGTCAGTCTTGTAAAGCCAACGCATTTTTACACAGTTGAACTGTTTCAGTACTTCCGCTAAAAGTGAGCTAACGCGGAAATCTTCGTTTAGAAGACAATAAATATATATTGTCTTCTGAAAGTGAACTATTTGCCAATACATTTTTTACAGGCATACAGAAAAGAGGATCAATTAAACTGGAGAAGTAGGCATTAAAATAAATGTCACGAGGTGCACTTTCGTTGATTCCCACATCAGTGGTGGAATGATTGCCAACCTCACGTGTGGTCCGGACTCGATTCCCAATTGGCTCACTCGTAAACGTCGCTTAGCTGATAATAAGCCCGGTAAAAAGGGCAGGTCGGTTGGCAATCCCGCTCCTATGGAAAGCATCACCGCCAATCAAACTTGAATCCCTATGTTTCACTGGAAAAGCAAAGGAATGAAGAAAACAAAATACTTTCGTTTAGATAGGGTAAACATTGGCGTATTCAGCCTCTACCAGTTGCACTGTTTTAATGTAGTGACTATTTTCAGCTTGCTGGATGAGAGCTGTGTTTAAGACTGTCTGCTAAAGAGTGATGCCCCTGAAAATTTGGTTGACATCTTGAAAGTTCCGTAGAAAATTACTTTAGGTAATTTCAGAGTATACCATCATCTCAACTGAAAGTAGAGTTAGGCAGAATTGCTAATTTTCACTTTATCTGCCGAATTTTCCTATGGGCAACATTCAGGGGGTGATTCTGAAGCATATGAGTAGCTTCGTGGTGTAGATATGCTATATGGAGGAAGACTATTCAGTCTTAAGTATGCAGACGATATCATCTTACTATGTAACAACGTAAAAGCTACCTAAGTATCACTCAATCAATTGCTGGTTGGAAGGAGTGAAAAGAGGTGGTCATGATTGCACCATATGATGGTTGTTTTTGCCACATTGGCGTCACTACTTCCTGAGTGTGGTCCATGTAATCCTGCTTAGTCGGATGTGGCTCAGAATCAAAATTAGTGATGAACATGTTACAGTTTCCTTCTTTCTTCTGCTTCCGAAGTAATTACGAAGTAATTAACGTTACTTTGAGTTACCTTGATAGGAGTGCGTATCAGTTGTATTATGTTGTTTCCTAGCAATTTTTTCCGTTATATTGTTGTTCCATTACTTTGAGTGGAGCGTATCTGAATGATTCAAATGAATCAAGCCTGTGTTGAGATAAATAAAGACAGGATTAAATGTCTGAGAGAAAACATGAAGTGGGTGTATCTGCACTTGTGTGATTTCTCAAAATTATTTTATTCCATTACGTTCCTAATGATGCATACGGTTTCAAGACGGAGCTTTGAAGTTCCGGTAGGTGTTTACTTTTACGGGATGGGGTTCCTCGCCTCATGCCCAACCTTCCTCCTTTACCGGTTTACCAAGGTAAGGGAGTGCGTCGGCCGGGGATTGAACTCCGGACAACATGCGTGGTTGGCGAGCATTCTGCCGCTAAGCCACTGACACACACCTGTGTAATTAGTGATAAATATTATCATCAAAAATTTCAAATTGATGATTCTCAAGCAGAAAGAAAACAACTGTATACTACTGATTGATTGGGATGAGTAGTTGTATAGCACTCGCATCAACGAGTAGTGTTCGCCACTCACATCGAATTAATCTAAATACCGAACTGCCGTTTCGCTCATGTGGGGCCGAGCTCATCAGCGATTCACCTACTCCGACTCATCTCAAAAAGCCGAATCAGTTCAGACCACCTGATTTCTTGCTTAAATAACTCAAACAATCAAATCAGGTTGGTCAGTCTAATCTTATTTTAAATAACATCGACAATAATCCAGTATTCTAGGTAAATGAATCGGTTAAGTCGAAGATAAATTTGCCTTGCAGTCTCATTCTAATTATCAGTGTGCAATTGTTCATTCAATAAAATTTGCTCTAGTTTAGATTTATTATCGGCGTTACGAAAGTATAATGTGAATTTTATGAACAAGTTTGAATCTCTCCGAGATTTTTGTCATTGTTCGCGCCTAGTATAACTTTTGTATGGGTTGTAATTGAGTTTAAGTCAAACAGTTGGCCAATTTACCAGCAATACCTTCTTCTCATTTCATTCTTTTGTTTTCCTAGTGGAATATATAAGTCTTTTAGCTTTCAGTAGTGATGGTGACATTGTTTACGGAGCGGGGTTGCTAGCCTCACACCTAAGCTTTCCTTTTTCCATGGATACTATTTACCGGTGCTAAACTAGGTGAAGTTTAGGAATGCGTCGGCGAGGAATCGAACGCTGACCATGTATGTCGTTAGTGGGCCTCCTACTATTTCACCACCGATGACGCTCCAGCTATACTTATAGTAATTAAATTTACTCCCAATATATCTTAAAAATCATGTATTTTGTATTTCACTTACCTTTATAGTATGCATCGGATATTATCTGTTTTACAAGTAAATCCTTATTGTGTATACCGAAGATTAGAAAATTCTGTTCTCCATTTCAAGTGGGTTTTCTTACTATTTTATGTTTTGAGTAGATTGTTACCGATTTTTTTATTCTTTGGGAGTAATAACATATACATAAACTGCAATTGTCACTGAACATCGTTAGTATTTCTATTTGTAAAAAAGGAAACATTCAATTAATCCTTCTCTCTAATGACATCATTATTTTTCGGTTCGAGTACTTCTTTTAGTTAGTAATCAGGATTGACTAAATGTTGTCAAACCAAAACTAAACTTCTATCATTTTTTCGAGGAAATCAAGTTGGTCTATACTCAAAGATACGTTTAGAAAGCAAATGTTAGGTAGGAACAGCACACTGAACTAAATGAGTCAGTGATGAATACATTGCAGTGGTCAAGAGTGTAATTTATCCTAGACGATTTGTCAAATGATCTTAATATTTAGTTCTCTGAGAAACGTGAACCTGGATATTTGATATTTTGTCAAAAGATTTCTGAAAGAGAGCGCGTTCATGATATGAACAATGCAGATTTCAAGGAGTGTGTTAGAAGTGGTAGGATGAACTGCTTTAGGTTTCTTCTAAAGATGTATTAACCAGAAATAAGTGGAATTTCGTTCAAATCTGACACTGATGATTTGAAATAAATTTCGTAAATCAATGGACCATAACGCTCTTTCGAGTCTAATAAAGAGAGCAACTATCGAACTCCACCAAACTCCTGTTTTATATAGGCTTGAAGTTTTGAAACTATGCACGACTATTAAAATGAACTTCTACAGTAGACATGCTTCTGCAGGTAACTTCCTTACTCTTCCTGAAAAAATAGGTTTATATAACTCTTGATATTGAAGTTAAGCGCATAACTTTATAGGGTCGAAAATATCCATTTATTCATGAAGAAAATAAAAGTCGGTGCAGCGAAGAAAATTTTCTTAACTGACGAAATCATCTTCAAAGGATGTACAATGGTATTCATATTTACCAAGAACCTATTCTATTACTAAGTAGTACGGTGGTCCGGGTAATATCATTGGTACAACTATAAACTGAGAAGTGATTCCTAAAGACAAAGAGAAATTACGTAATAGCCAACGGCACAATGGAGGTAAGGGCTTGAAATCTGACACGGTGAAAACTGTTATTCGATGAAAAGTAAGGTAGTTGGCTGTCCCATTCCCAAGTGTTAAGAGAGAGAGAAAACTCAGTAAAATATACAAAAGGAACATATAGTGGTGACTAGTTTGAAGCGAACAAGTAGTGAGGGGATTAAGACCATGGTGAAAAAAGAGGCCAAAGAAACCTTTTCTACACACACAGTTTGAAGTTGTATAACGAATCACTGGCGCTTCTGCGATTTATCTTGGGAATGTTGGCTAAACTGTAAACTTGAAACATCTAAGTTGGGACACTGACTACCATTGTCACGAAGCGGAGTTGGTCACAGTCACATTGGACCACTTTATTAGGTACACCTACAACGGAACTCAATGGTCTCAGTTTGCAATACATACAGTGATTGACTTTTTACACTGATGTAAAGTCGAATTACGGTGCAAGTGTAAAAATGTCGCAACATTTTCTTTTTTACATTATTTGAAACATACCAATATCACCTTTTTTCATTATCAATACTACTCTTTGTTTGTCTTTTTTTGGTTTCAGTTTAACTAGCAAAAATGTACACATGAACCCTTCTGAAAGTCAGCTGATGGCTCTAGTGCTCCTGCGTCTCATGGCAAATGTTGAACCTACTCTCAGCGAACTAACAAACAATGAATGTATTGCTCACTTTTTGAAGTCAATGCATGGACCGCCTCCAATAATATTCATCAATAAGATTATTAATCGGGTAACAAGACTGTATAATGTAGAATCCGATGATGATTCGCTATCAGAAGACTAAATTATGTGACGATTTTTTAAATTGCATTGCATACTGCAGTGTTGACGTGATAATGTTTGTCGTGACTGGAATCTTAACAGTGAAGCCTTCATGTAGATTTTGTACATAAAATGTAAAAAGATGACTTATAGTAGAAATCGGCTTATGATTTAACTTCTCAAATGTATACGGTTCAGTTTGTAAACAATTTTAGCGGAAAGTAGACAAAAATTCGTCTTAATGGCGATAAAGGTGTTGTTTTGGCTTGACATTCTATCTATCTGACCTTCAATTAGTGAGTACGAAGTTCACATGGTATGGGGAGTCATTTTTTGTAATGAACTGGCGTACAGTATATATGGTAGTGTTCGCGACTGCACGTGCTAAGAACTTTTTCATCAGTATTGATGTCAACAAAATGTCTGTTAAACGTGAGTGCACTGTCTTCTTGGTGTCTGCATCATGTTTTCTAGGTAGTTCTGCACCACAGATAGCAGACGTAGCTGTTTTGCCTCGTGGTACGTTGACGAATAACAGTTGAAGTCTTGTCGATTCCCCTCTTTTTCGCGCTCGCCGCAAATCGCCACGCAAAATAAAAAACGGCTCTGACTAGATGGAATGGAAGTTGACAGAATTAAGATAAACATCTGCACGGTGATCTCGACCAGAACCAGTTAGTTGCAGTGAAGTCAGTCTGGCGAAAATAAAGACGCAGTAAAAGTCAGCTCATTCTAAACACAGTGTATCAAACATCGAACAGCAAACGCTTCAATGCTTCTATCTTTTCCGGCGTTAATCTCTATAGTGAACTGTGACCAAGCGCCACATAGAGCATGGTTATTACATCTATAGAGTTCAATACTTACAAAATATGTTAGAATTTTATTAAACAGAAATCTTTTTGTTGAGAACATTATTGTTTTAACTGGTGTGTCTTGAGACGCAAATAGTAATATATACAACACAACGATTACTACAATATTTAAGCAACTGGGTCAAGAGATCGATTAAAACCTCCTCGCCGGTTCATGTATTGACGGTGTTTGCGCTGTTTTGCTTTATTTGCACCGTAGATACTGTTGCCGACGACATGCTTTCCTTTAGTTGTATTGAAACTACAGAAGCCCATTGTGCGCATCACCTCTGCTGCTTCCTCAGTTACAGCCTCTATTGGTGATTCTGAAAAATAAAGTAGTTATATGAAGAAAATCGATTACCTTCCACATAATACACAACCTCTGTCTCGGTTTTAGTTACAGCACTCCTAGGACGTGTACGACGCTCCTACCTTCGCTGTGGTTGCGTCCATGTCATCTTCGGCCATCTCGATCTCTCTTTTCTCCATCGTTTCGATGCCGGTCTCTATCCACATCTCTTTCGTTGTAATCATAACTGTAGTCGCAATCTCGATGTTTCCGTGAACGCTCATATGTATCACTAAGATCTCTATATCGGCAGTGACCTTGAGTGGGAACGTTTTTCGTAGTCTGTATAAGTAAGGGAAGTTATGAAATACGGTATATTATCAACAGAACCCAGAGTCTACTGAACACCCTGAGCAACAATCTCCGTATGTTTGGCATGCCATTCGCCCCTGTAAAATGTAAGATGATGTTACAGGATTGGATTTCATCGACCCCTAGATTAGAAATAGGAAGTGAAGTGGTAGAACACGTCGACCGCTTCAATTACTCGGGAAGTACCATCAGCCCCAACGGGTTGATCTCAGACGAAATTTCAGCACGAATACAGAGGGCTAGGTTCGCATTCGCCAGTTTTCGCCGTCTCTGGCGTAGACGCGATATCCGACTATCGACCAAAGGGCGTGTGTACTGCTCAACAGTCCGCTCCGTCCTCCTTTATGGCTGTGAGACCTGGCCATTGAGAGCAGAAGACATGAAAAGATTAGCTGTCTTCGATCATAGGTGTCTGCGTTCTATCTCCCGTGTGAAGTGGTATAATAAGGTGAGCAATATTGAGGTTAGGCGTCGAGTGCTAGGTAAGGCGGGGAAATCAATCGACGAAACGGTGAAATTACTTCGACTGAGATGGTTAGGACATGTGCTACGTATGCCTAGTCATCGCCTTCCTCGACAATGGGCAATGTTAGCTGATATAGGGTCAGGCTGGAAAAGAGCTAGCGGCGGTCAAACCAAAACGTGGCACCAGTCAATGAAATCCACAACAGTTAATCTAAGCCACGTAGGAAGATGTAGACTTCCTGGTTGGGGCCCTCGGGATGGTAAAAACCAATGGTTGGAAACAATTGGTGACATGGCTCAAAATCGTTCTCAGTGGCGCAGATGCATCCACTCCTTGTGACTTATGATTTCCAATTAAACTGTTTTGTTCTCCGTTATTACTATTCCTTGTCTCACACCTCTGTTTACTGTCTATATTATGCATTTCTTCTCTTGCTTTGCGTGCTACACAAATTGTGGCGACTTGAACTGCAGCACATATGTGCAAAGTTCTATGTCGAAAACCGACCGACCGATCAACAGAACCTTGCGGTAGTGCGCAATGATTAAACTTCACATTAGCATATCAGGTTGAAAATAATAAGATGTTATAAGATACAATCGCTTAGCGGCAATTGAATCATATACGTGTTTTAGATGCAGCAAACACTGGTGATGAGGGTCTTAACGTTTTGGTTAAGGAGGTTTCTATAACTCCTTCAAGAAAATGTGTAGACAATGTAAGTTTTAAAACATAGTGAATGACGCTGTATAGAACCAGATATCCTATCTTGTGAGCTCAAATCGTTAGCGCAGTTCGCAGAGCCGGAGCTCGAATGTGGTGTACATTTTTTAGAAGTAGGTTTTCTAATCAACAAACTGAGTTTCAACATGGGACTGAGCGCAGCGGTTCGGCAGTTCAAGTTGCCACACCTTGTAGCACACAAATCAGACAGAAGAAAGAAAATAAAGAGGTTCAAGGGACTACAATTAACGGGAATATGAGTAAAAAAATAATAATAGCACGACTGAGTGGAAATGGCAAATCCCAAAGAAGGAATGCATCCGCGCTACTGCGAACAACCATGAGCCATACCACAAATAGTCTCCAGGCATGGGTTCTTAGCATCCCAAGGATCTAAACCAGGTAGCTTGTATTTCCCTACGTCACTAGCTCAAACCAACTGCCAACGACTTCATGCGACTACCCTTAACTCGTTTCCAATCTAATCTTATGTCGGCTAACATTGCTCGTCTAAGAAGGCGATCGATAGCTAGGTATGACATCTTCGCTAGAGATAGTATAAGTTGGCAAACGCCACACCAGCGTCTTATGTCTGAGCTGATACAACTCCTTATTTCTAAGCTGGAAGTCGGGGCAGGCCAATCTTGCAGCATCATCTTATATGTGATAGGGGTGAACCACATGACAAACGTACTAAGATTTCTTCTCAAGATATTTAGAGGAGTTCGCATTTTGTCCACGTTTCCACCTGGAAGAAGCACTGTATTATCTGCGTGTCGTACATCACTGACACTTTTTCCTGGTAATTAGTACATCCCTGTGACATAGAATTCGCCAAGCGTCACCTCCGGTAGTACCCCTGTAATGACATTAAACTAACAGTAAGTACATTCATGGAGGATACCACTAGTAGTTATCACTTCAAATGAAAACTTTCCATAAGCTCCTGCATGGCTGCGTGAGCTCGAGTAGTGTCCTGATTAGTACGACATACTTTCACAACCAAACATTGCGACAGTACCTCTTGTTAGACGGAGTCGAATGCTGCTTGCAGGTCAAGAAATATGGCAAATGTTGGGTGCTGGTAAGTATGGGTATGTTCTAGAATCCATCGAAGGATGAAGATATGATCAATACTCCCTCTCCCTGGCCTACACTTACCCGTTAATTACCAGACGAGATTTAGGTGTGAGAAATTTCTGTGTAACTAATGAAAGAGGAAGTTAGTTTTTTCATGATTGAAAACCTCTCAAAGTGATGCTAAGTAGCTTAGAAATGTCAAAGGTTGACTCGACAGCCATGTTTTAAATGTTAATAGTACAATCGCTCCAAAATTATTCAACATATAAGGTGTTTGATGTTAAGGAATGTGCTGAGTTATTAGAGAGAACAGTGTGTTGATTTAAAAATCCGCATAAGATGGGTAAGTTCGAATCATAACATAATCTACATAAGGTCAACATATTAAGTTAGAAAAGGCTTCAAAAACTAGAGGAGAAAGGTAATAACCACAATAGAAGAGCAAATTTAACTTCCATTTAGATTACTTTGAACTACATCTCGAGTAATCTGTCGTCAGTGTGTACTGGTACAGTACACAACTTACACTATCGACGTCCAATATGTCGACTTGTGGCATTTTCACCATCACCACAAAGTAAATCTACATGTTTGCATCAAACAATGTGATGTTCAGCTACCGATGGAAGGATGTGTACACTGCACAGCGATTCGCTGTCCTTTTTATGAATGAGACGCGACCGTTTAAAGCAGGGGACTTGAAGAGGTCAGCTGTCTTTGACTACAGGTTTTTGCGCCCTATCTTCTGTGTTGAGTGGCATGCTATGGTGGTGGTGTTGGAGTTAAACGTAAGGAGGACAAGTCTACAAATAAGGTTGTGAAGCTGCATAGACCAAGATGATTAGAACAAGTGTTACGCATTCTGAGCCATCGCCTTTTCCGTTGAGTTAGCCGACATAGGATTAATTTGGGAGAGAGGTAGGGGTGGTGAGACTGAAACATAGCATCAATCAATGAAACTTACTACTGTTAGTTCGAAATAGGTACGGAGGTGAAGACTGTTTGTCTGGGATCCTCGAGATGCTACGAGACATCGGATTCCCATTATCGCCAACATGACCGGCGGAAAGACAGAGATCACATCCAAATTGTAACGACTCTAAATAATTCTGGTTGTAATTTGGTAAGCAACCATATTTCCTTGCTTCACAGTGGTTTACACACTTCATGTTGTCAAGTTGGAGTCTTCCCACTAATATCTCATTCACACAAATACTTCGTTGAGGTATACCGGAGTCAGATACATTACCTTCAAATGTTTAGTTGCCCAGTTTCTTGATACGTAGACAACTTTAGAACCTTACTCACTACGCTGATTGTTAACTATCATAAATTAACAATACGTCTGAATAAATAATCACAAGTTTTTACTGTTTATGGATATATTGTAAGCTAAGAGTTAACCTATATGTCATTCGTGCTGAAGACTTACAGTAAAGCGACTTTGTACACAAAACAAGTCGGATAGACGTGCAAGAAATCAATTCCTTAAACAATGCGTGAAGGCTGTGGACAATCATCTGCTTTTCAGTGAGTCTTTTAACAAACTGTCTTGCATAAGT